TTAGATTTAAAAAAAAAAGTACTTGGTTCGGGGATGTTGTGTGTTGTACCATTTTGAAGCATCAGTGTTTCCAAGATGACGTGCTTCTGGCCAAAAAGACCTAAACCATGTTACTTTTGGAAGTACGTGAAGCTATGGTTGAGGATTGCCTTTCTACAGCTGTCTGTAGTGCTTGATGCACTAAAAAGCTATGGGAGACGCTTCAGAGCAGCAATTTGCCCCATCCTCTGCAGAGCACTGAAACACGTGGATGTTTGTCTGGTTTTGGAAATGGAGAAGTCATATTTTCTTTAACGGTGGATTCACGGCAGGTGAGACAAAAGTGGTCAACAGCTCTGGAGACTCAAAAGCCTCAACCTTGAGAAAAAAGGGCAATCCTGGTGCTGCGTATGTTGTCGTCTGCTCAGCTCAAGGGACCTATTATTTGCAATAAGACTTTATTTAAAGTAAAGGAAATCTGTGGTCCTGACACACTGCAGGGTTATTTCTAGCAATTACAGAGAAATTTTAATTGCAGCATCAGCTGTTTGTGATGCATCGCTGTACTTAATCTACCTCTGCAAAAATGGATTATGCAATGTGAAGAAATCGTGGTATGACTTGATGTTGTAATATATAATATAACCTACTTGATAGTCACTTTAAATATTTATTAAATATTAGATATTTAAATAAATATTTATTATTTAAATATTAATTAAATATTGTCTGTCAGTATTCTATTAGTGCTGTTTTGTTTCTGCTGTAGTGCTCGTTTATGGTACTGGTATTGCCTACTGGCGGAGCGTCAAGTCTCCTCCTTAAGCCATGACTTGTTTTCAACTGGTCATTTTATTGCTCTGTGATTATTTTATATCTTTATCAGTATGAAAAAATCATTTGAAGCACCGATTAAGGAGATTTTTGCTCGGTCCTGGGACCTGTCAGACACTTACTACATCAGATGCAGATAGCAAAGTTTGTTCTTTGGCTGCAGAATATAAACATTGGGAGTTGTAAGCATCCCCTGGGTTAGAGAGACCACTGTAATAACACCGAGCTTCCCAACTTCATTTTGAGATACTTCTGTAAATCCGAAGCTGAACCCGAGCTGAAGATTTTTTTTTTCCACCAAAATGTTGGTTGGCCAATGTGTGTGAGTTTGCTGGAAAACACGTGTGTTTGGCTGCTCTTCCCAGGGCCATCCACCCTATGCATAAAAAAATAAATGTATGAACAGAGGACCAGGAATGTGAGCCAGACCTTAAGGATTTGGCAGCCTCTGCCTCCAGGATCCATCCGCACCGGCGTTTGCTGATGACTGTCTGCCAGCTTAGCCGGGATTTTTTTCCCGTAACAGCACTTGAATAGGAAAACTGTCCCCGTTTGGGAAGAAGACTTAAGTAGGAGGCTTTGGTTTGGTTTTGGGGTTTTATTTTGTTGCATCATGGTTACATGGTAATTCCTTTTTTTTCCAGAGCGTTGCTTAAAAGGAAGAAGCTGAAATGGTCTGATCCTGTGCTTAAGTATGGGAAAAGGAGGAATATTCTGCCAACGTTGAAGCCAGGAATGCAGATGCTAAATCCTATTTCTTACATAGCTGATAGAGCACCTGCATCAGCAGAGCTTTAAATCTCCCAAACAAGTGTGTTGTAATGACTTTTATAGTACTTTAGCTAGGGTATCTTACTCTATAAGTGTACTTAAGTGCTCTTGATATTTCCATTACATGCACTGGCACTTCTTTTATTCAATTAAATTGACCCCAAAACCTTCTCCAAATCAGTGCTCTCCCATTAAAAGTCATTTTCTCCCATATTTGTATTAGGGAGTGTGAACTCTAAGTGCACAAAGACAAGCGGTCCTAACTCACCCTGTATTTTAAACCTAATTGCTGCAAAAGATTCGTTGGTTAGTTGCTCCATCCCAGGATGGCAACTTGATTCAGCAGAGAGGGGAATTGCTGCCCTTGAATAGTCTCAGTTTTGCTGGGCCAGGTAGGTTTAGTGCAAATGTTTTACAATGAGAAGACATTTTAAGTTGGCATAAACTAATAACAAAAAAAAAATTAAAGAAGATGTTTCATAGCCTGTATCATGAGAGTAGTATTTTATACATAAGTTAAATTACAAGAAGGTATGTCTGTTAATATGGTAGAACTCACTTGGCTGCCATTCAGTAATAGTAATTATGAAATGAAGTATTTTATGTGCTTTATATTGAAAGAATACTGCTGAGTTTAATTCTGCGTAGCGAAGGGTGCGCCGTCATTGACAGTGGGATCAAGAGTGTTTTAACCTTCATAAATGCAACAAATGGTACGTTTGGAGTGGGGAGACCCCTTAAATATGCTTTTGGACCTTCGCGCAGTCTTTGCAAGCCTGTTCTCCATATGGACAGGAGGGAGAGGAAGGGTCTTATCAGCACTTCCCAGGTGTCTTTATCCTTTGGACTTTCCCCATCTGAAGTATTTGCAGGTCAGGTATTTGAAAGGTTCTTTGATGGGGAATGAAGAGCAAGGAGAGGATAGGGTTGCATCTTTTGGTTGCTGTGCCAGCTTAAAAAATTGCATTACTAATTTTACGGGAAGAAACAGAAAACTGCATGGTTTTGAGAAGCTTGTAAGCAAAAAATCATGCTAGTAGGAGACACTACAGAAAGCAAACACCACCGAAGAGATGTTCTGCTGTGGTTTGCTATCAAAGGCTAGTATAGGATTGGATTTTGTTCTAGGCAATATTTGAGAAAAACATTATCTGTTTATAATAGGAAAAAAAAAAATGTATTTTGTCATTATAGTCCTTGTGTTTAAACTGCTTTGTCACCTTTGAGGTTTGAAATGGAAAATTGGGTTTTGGTTCTCTAATGTGCTCCGGTGGCCCGTTGAAGAAAAGAATAACGAAAGAGAAATCTTTTAAAGATTCTAAAAGTCAACGTTTGGCCATTCAGGGTTGCAGGTCATTCTTGGTGAGAGCTCTGCTCAAGCGTTGCAGCGCGAACACTGTAAATACTTTGTGGTTTGTGCTTTTTACCGTAAAAGCATCGATGGTTTCATTAGGCAGTATGGAACATCTAGCCACAACCAAGAGAATTAAAGAACGAGGTGTCAGCACTTGAACTTGCTATAAACTAGATATTCAGTATTATTGCTTGGCCACGCAGAACAACGCCTCGAAGGATTCATATAAAAGCTATTTGACTTTGCAAGAATGCAGGCTGTAGCTCATACTTTTTGGCTTTAGTACTTCTTTAGGTGCTTATTTAGGTGTCGGGCTCATACTTTTTGGCTTTAGTACTTCTTTAGGTGCTTATTTAGGTGTCGGGGTCTCTGTTGCATAGAGGTGGCTTTTAGGGCTCCTGATGGAAACCGAAAGTTGGGGGAGATACCACAAAGTAGTATATTTTTAGCCGTGCAGTTCAGGTTGATAGGTTTTATCAGGCGGTGAGCTGCAGATTTAAAAGAAGTATTTCCCAGGGCAGAAGCAATAATGAGAAGGGATTTAGCAAGGGTCTAACTTAAGTAGTCTGGATGCATTTTATGTTCTGGCCATAATTCAGTAGATTTCTGTTAAAAAGCAATGTAACAGGGCAAGAGAGTGCTGGGAGCTTGGTTGCAGGTTGAATGAAAACAAGCAAAAATGGTCTTTATCATCCAGCTGTTTATGTTTCAAGATGCAGAAAGGAATTCGTAAGCACAGAGAATAACTTAAAAAGCCAGTGAATGCCCTCGTCATATAAAAAAGACATTAAAGTTACAAAATTTCAATATGCTTTTTTTCCCATGTCTTTTTTTCTTTTGGAATAAAGATATTTGTGAATTTTTTTTTTTTTCAAGCATGATGTGTAGAATATTGGGAAAAATAGCCTGCAAATCTGAATGTAAATTACAGGTGATGTTTAAAACCACCACTCTTTGGAGAAGCATACGCTGGGCTTCTCTAACAGAAGTTATAGATAAAGCATGTGAATGTATATCTGATGTGCATTGAATCCTTGCTGTTACATCGTTTGTGTCGTGTCCATCTAACTGTGGCCCTGGCCTTGTGTTTATGTTATTTTATGGTAAATAGACTTTTCCTATGCTGTCTTCTTTAGTGCAGTCCCCGTGCATTAGGGCTTGGGCTTTTGGGGCATCGTATGGAATCTGCACCCCTCTTGCCCTTTACCAGCCCTTATATGTGCCAAGACTTTAATTCACAAATATTCTCTATGGTTGCATAAGTTCAGATGAGCGTTTTATTTCCCTGGCTGCTATATTGCTGGCTGACGCTTTGAGTTTCCACCTTGCTTGTACAGTTACAAGTCATTCATACTTTATGAATACATTTGATTCATGAATTCCAAAATTCACGGTAAACCAGGGAATACGAGTCTTCTAGCAGTCTCTTGTCTGATATTAACCTATTTCTTGTCCCTAGCATAAATGAGCATGACTAAATCTTGCTCCCAGTCCCTTCAGTGCTCCACGATGGAATATAACTGTTAATATAACTATTCCACGGTGGCGTAGCCTGTATTGAGATTTAAGCAGTTGACTTGCTTTTCTTCTGATATATTTATGGTACGGCTTTCTAAAAAATTAAATTTACATTTCAAGTAGACAGGAAACCATTTAAAAACTCTTGTCTATTAATACATTTCTCTTTCTATATAGCAAAGGTCAAGTGATGTATGTATTTTCCCTTCCAAGGGGGTGAGTGCTAGAGGCTCATTTGAGAAGAACAGGGCTGGGGACCTGTTACGTACGCCAGCAAAGGCACATATTTCCACCAGTGCTTTCACTGCAGAAACTGTTATTCTATAGGGGAATGCAGCTGTTACTCTATAGGGGAATGGCATTCAATTAGGATTATCTATATAACAGCATCTTATTGTCATTGCCATATGAGAACAAGTCACTGCGGTGTTTTCCTAGATGCAGGGCTTTGGAAAATAACCTTATTTCAGGAAAGACATTAAAATAATCCTTATTCTGGCTGTAATCTGTAATTAATCCAGATTGCATTAATATTCAGTCCAAAATGAAGGGACCACGAGCCTTCTGGATCAGGTGAGGAGGAACATGAAGTATTTAGCCACGAAACTGTTAATTTTTTTTTTTTCCCTGCCGTCCACGATAAGCATCTCTTTGTGCAGGAGGGTTGTAGGAGGCAGGAGGAATGGAGCTGCTCGTTCCTCTGCCTGCTCTAAACTGTTGAATCACCAGCGCTGGGTCCAGAGGGATGCTCGGCTCCTACAGAGGAACGTATTGAATTTTGTTTCCTTCAAAATGTTGAGCCCAGGCCAGTAAAAGCTTTGGTCTCCCCGAGAATTTTAGGAATGCTGTTACAGATTTTTGTCCGTTGAGCTGCTCAGCAGCTTTGAATCAATGAGTTAGTAAAGGGAAATAATACGAACAGATGATAATTTGTTTTAGGGAAGTAGTTATAACTCATTTTCTGTTTTCCGAGGCTGAACTGTTATATTATGCCCTGGCTGCAGAAGGACGTGATGTCCTGTTCAAGTATATATAGATTAGGTATGCATAAATTGAATTAATAGCACTTTTTTTTATAGCCCAATAGTTCTGCTAAAGAAACACGGTGAGTAAACCAAACAAAACTGTGTTAACTGTCTCAAGTTAAACATCAGGCGTTTCTTTAGCTACTTGTTGGCCCTTCACCCGTGTGCCTTTGCCATAGTCAGCCTTAAGTTTTAACAAGGCGTGATCCAAAGAGCTTTCTCATTTACATCAGCAATAAAGAAAAATGCATGAAAGAGGGATATTACGGGTTATGATTTCCATAGGCGTTTGGGTTATAATATATAATGTGGTCTGGCATATTAATCCAGAAGAAAAGCTCATAAAAAAAGAGGACTCTTGCAGTTCCCCACTCCTATATTTAAATGTTTTCTCCTGACTCTAAATGTTCCTTGTTACAGAATGAAAAAAACGTATTCCTGGGTAAGGCTCTTCCCAAAGAAATCCTAATAACTAGACGTTATTTCTCTCCATGAGCTATTGCTTAAGGTATAAGCAGAGGGAGCTGAACCAGAAATCCTTTTAATATTGTTTTTTGCTTAAATTCTTTATTAAATTATATGAGAAGGTGATTAGAATAGGGCTGCCATTCGTTTAGTCTGAGTTCGTTTGTTCTCAAGTGAACAGCGTTAATTAGGTCTATAGAAAATGTATCACCTTCATGTGATGTCTTAGATTGCAGTCGATCCTATTACGAGGAAAATGCTCGTAACGTAATTAATATTATTTAAAACAAGTATATAAATACATGGTGATGCGCTAGTTTGTTGAGTATCAACGTATTCTGCTTATAAGCTTCTTGCTGCGTCTCTGCTCGCTGAAATACCTGGAGGAGGATGGGTGAATCCTTTGGAAAATGTTAAATAGCATCCCGTCTTTTAATGCCAAAATGCCTATTTTGGGGCAGATGATGCCTGGATTTTCGTTGCCAGGAGAGTTTTGGGGGCTTCAATGGTCACCTAGAGGTGGGGGCATCTTCGACACCCTTCTGAGGGTGGGGTAGAGGAGGGGTGCTGGGTGCAGGGAAGATTTTGGGGGGGAATAAGCAGAAAACAAGCGTGAGCAGCCTGAAAAGATGTGAAATCTCTGTAGGGGAGCGTTCCTTAGCTGTGTGTCTGAAATCATCTCTCAAGTATAATCTGCTTGCTCGGCAGGTTTCGGCTATCCCAGAACTTGTTTTAGTCAACTAAAGCAAATTCATATGCAACAGCTTGAGTTTAAACAAATCCCTGTATTCAAATAGGGGGAAAAAATCACGTTGTTATTCTGTTAGCAAACCTCCTTTGGTTCTTAAATCATTAAATCTAACCAGATTGCTAAATAAATCTGCCTGGGAAGATAAAGGTACTCGTGAGAGCACGCATCACGCAGGTACTGAAGGTGTCGAATACCTTTTTGCCAAGGTTTCATTTAATTTGGCCTTTTTTTGTGCTTTTAGTTGCGAAGTTAAATCTGAAAAGGTCACTTGAAAAGCTTCAGATTATAGATGTAAAGCCCTTTTAATCTTTTCTAATAAATAGCTGAGTAGGGAATAAATCTATTGGGAGCTCGGAGCTGAGCTCTGGTATTAAGCCTCAGCACAAAACGTATTTGTAATTCAATGTCCATACACAAACAACGCTTAGAAATTATCTTGCATATAATTACCTTAAATAAGTTTGGCTTAGAAGAAAAGGTGAATGATTATCAAAACTGGTTTAATAAATGAAACATTAATTGGACCTGGCAGCTTGACAGATTCTGTCACCATGGGCTGGGTTATTATTAAAGTGATTTAGGCACAATTGAAAATACCAGTTTTCAGTGAAGCTGAGCTGCAGTTCTTGCAGGTTTCCAATAGCTCTTCTGTTCAGAGATTTCTTTTAAATGGCAATAAATGACTCTATATTAGGTGCCTCAGTAAGGCAGGGTTTTAATAAAAGCTTTGCATAATAAAGACTTAAAAGCATTTTGATTTTGGAAAAACAACAGCAGCAAATCGAAACGACAGTGTCTGAAATGCTGAAAATACTCTGGGTTATGCCGGTGCTATATATGACATTGTCTAACATCTGAGTAGTCTTCAAAGCATTTTGCCCCCTGATTCCATATATAATTAAAAAGCAGCTTCCTCTAGCTCATTAAAATTTAGAGTCTTGTTGAAGCAGTGTACTTTTATATTTATTTAAATGAATAAAGTACAGCCTTAATATAGACTGTAATAACTTCAAATATTAAATCTGTCTTGTACAGCTAACACTTTATTTTTAAACAGTGTTTATCTGCCCTTCATGAATACCAAATTGAAAATGAATATGGTCCCCAGAAGCTTGTCGTATTATTTTGTAGAGCATTCAACTAACTTTCACCATATGCTTTTTATTAATTATACAATGATAGCAAAATCCCCAAAGTTAAGTTGTTAGTGACGTGCATATAAATAAGGTAAGGCGGTGGCTTTTCGAACGTAATGATGGCATCTCTCTCTTTTCACAGGCGTTTGGAAATGCAAAAACGGCACATAACAACAACTCGAGTCGCTTTGGCAAATTTATTCAAGTGAATTATCAGGAGACGGGCACCGTGCGCGGGTAAGTGGGAATCAGGTTGAAGATGCTGTACGTACTCTTACCTGCACAAGGAGCCTAAACAGGCTGTTGTAGGGGGTACGCGAAAAAGAAGGTTCAGTTTTTTTGCCAGTACGTTTCCCAAAATGGAGAGGGGGGGAAAGAAAATATTTTAGCATATTTAAATCCATTGGTATGAAAATGTTGGCATCTCTGAGCTGCACATTGAAGTGTGAATACACCTGAGCTGGCTTCAAACCAGCTGAGCTCTTCTTAATCATGATGTCAACTTATAATTAAGCTGAAATGGAACTTTTCCTCTTAAGATAGCACTTAATGCAGGAAAGGGGAACGTTTTAGCTGGGATGGGTTAGGGGGCTGGAGCATATGATAGGAAGTAGAGGCTGAGCGAGCTGGCTTTGCTCAGTCTCTGGAAGAGAAAGCCAAGGGGGGATTTAATCTCCAGCTGCCTGATGGGTGTTACAGAGGCGGTGGAGCCAGACTCTTCTTGATCGCCGTCTAATTCCCCATATGCTTCTGTCTCTACCCTGAAGTCTCTCTCTTTAACCCAGCCCTTGACCAGTTAGGGCTTCGTTTTTCCCCCGGGCCATTGCAAGGAGATGCTTGTCACCATCGTGGTTCTCCTCAGTTTATTTCGGCATCTCTTCTGCCACCCAAAGCTCATGGGACGTACAGCTGTGACTCAAACCTTCCTTCTCCTGGGGAGGGCTGCAGCAGAAGTGCTGCATGGTTGGAAGCCTATGGATGAAACCTTCTGGGTGGGCTTACCTAAGCCTGGCTTTCTCTTTGGCTTTAGACAATTTACACGGCATCAGGTCATCACAAAGTGACTCAAGCTAGCTCTAAATGAGCAGGGCTTCGTTAACTCTGCTTTTTGTCCGTGTTAATTAACTCAGTTGGAAAAACGAAGAGTAGAAGTGGCATTCCAGGGGTTGTATAATTTCTGCAGCTACCTAAGAGATCTCTTGCTGGGACTTTGTTGTTATTTTAGAGAATTGCTTTTAAAATTTTTTCTTTCTTGTTTTCCAGCAGAACAGTATCACACAAATAGCTTCCATTAATTTTTCAAATGAGCTTGAGTACTCTGTGTACCTTCCCGCTGTTTTTTCATCCTACGTCAAATCTGATGTTCTTTTTCTTCTTTCTTCTTCTTTAATTCTGGTGAACAGTTCTCTTAAAAGGATAAGCCTCAATTTTTTTAATACCTACTGAAACACAGGGTAACAAGAATCCAACAAATGCCTTAACAATGCATTATCTTGGCATGCTGTGTCAGCTCTGTGGAAGTGGCCTCTATTTATACTTGGCAGATAGGTGCAGGTAACATTGTATTCGTATTCTCTAGTTCATAAAATAATAGGAATTTTCTTTCTCTTTAAAACCAAAGCACTTTCTTGGTCTTTGGTTGCACGGTGTGATGTGACTGTGCTTTGCTATAAGCTTGCAGTGCTGCCCCAATGAAAATAAAAAGACATTGAAAAAAACCTATGAGCTGTTCCTGGTGTACAAGACCACAGTTTTTTTCTACAGTCTTACAAAGAAGATCACAAGTATTTTTATTTTCTTTAAAACTTAGCATAGATTTTAAGCACAACCCGAGTCAATTATCATCCTGTATTCTGCATATTATTTGCTTTGTTAATGTAACTGTAATTTGCAGCCCTGAATCAGAATTTTGCTCTGTTCGGAGGCTGAAAATAGCAGTTGGATATTTGCTTATAAACCCTATGAATATAATGACCCAAAACTTGAAGCGAATTTAAACTTAAGAGATGTAATAGCCAAGAGATTTAGTAGCAGCCAACCCCGCCCCATGAAATGAAGTCTTTGAAGATGTCTTTAAAATTGATGGAGCATGAGCAATGGCACAGTTAGGTGCGTTCCCATAAGGCTTTATGAATTTATTATGTCCTGTTCGATGATAAGCGAGTTCTGGAGGAAGGTCTTTGCAACCTGTTCAAAAGCCTCAACATCTGACACGCTCCATAAAATTGCAGAAGAGCCAGATAGGAGACATTTTAATTAAAAGCAACAGTGCGCTGGTATAATGGTAAATCTGTGCAATGGCATGAGGCTGTATCTCAAATACCATGAGCTGGCACTTTCAAACATGCTGTGCTTGGGGGTTTTGCATGTTGGTATTTGTATATGAAATTCAGTCTCAGATTTCAGATGATGTTACCTAGGATGCTAAGTACAGGCTCTGTAGCATGCTTAAATGAGTATTTTACACGAAATCGTACTCTTAGAACTCCTTTTCTTTACTCTTAAAGGTAGATTTGGCATAATTGACAACAGTAAATAGAAAACAAACATTTGGAGGCATCTCCTTTTTTGAACTTGGTTTTCCTTTTCACTATCCTCTTACAAGAGGGGACATATGTTCTTCTTGGGACATGTATTCATTACAAGCAAGGAGTATTTTACCGAAACAGCAATTTAGTTGCATCTACAAAACAAAACAAAAAATTTTAAAAATTTGCCCTGATTTAAATAGTGGTTTGGACCAGGTGACCTCTAGAAGACCCTTCCAGCCTAAATTATTGTATGAGAGTGATTTTTTCTTTTTTTTTTTTTTTTTTTTTTTTTGGGGTCTATAATAAGAGCAGAAATCACAGGGGAAGGGATGAAATGTCAAGGGCGGTGGAGTGATCCAGGTTGTCGTACAGCAGTGTGCTGAGCTACTACCCAGGGGCGCGAGCGGGATCTGGGACACTCTGATACCTTTTTCACTCATCTGTTCACCGAGCCTGCAGTGAATTTGTGGCGTGGCTTGGAAAGGAAAAATTGGTTTCAGGTTAGAAGGGGGATACAAAAAAAACCTGTCGGCGAAGAATACCCATAGACTATTCTCAGCTTCCTTGCAGGGAATAAACAAGAATAAACCTTTTTGGTGCACATCATACAGAGGAATAATATTGCTTTGCTGTCTGTCTTTCTTTACTCCTCCTATCCAGCAAGATCACCCCGCTGGGGGTTGGATATGCCATTTCCAGTAGCTTCTCCTAAGAGCTGCCGTAAGAGTTCTCACAAATCCTCTGCAGCATGTCCAAATGATTTATTTTATCTTATTTTTTAGTGAAAGGAGGGGAGAATTTCTGAGATGCAATTAATAAATAGGTCTGTCTTCCCCATCTGGAGACTATGGTGGAGAAGCGAGCGTAGAGGCACCTCCGTGTCCTACCATGCCCAAGGCTCATGGGGTTTCCTGATTCATACGTGGCTGCTAATGTCGGTGCCACGTCACTGGGTGTCTGTAGCTGGAAAAGCACAGCTACATCATCAAAACTGCCAATCATAACTCCTGTTTCTAAATCCCTATCATTACTGGTTAGTATTGTTTGGAAGAAAAAAACCTGTCGAAGCTTGTTTTAACTCTACAAGCTTGAAAAAAGTATTTAATATGTAAATTAAACATGTTTATTATGAAGGCTCTTAGGATAAAACGTAAACTCCAATAAGGAGCTTTTGCAATTGTTTATTTTTTTGCCTGTAGCCACAAGTTAATAACGCGAGTTTTTGTTGAGAAGTGGCTCTTCTGGAAGAGGGAATAGTGATTTGGGGACCGACTCTGCAGCTACATCTGATCTTGCAAACTTTTGCACCCAGATATGTTTCTTGTGTCCACAAATCTTGGTCTGCAAGCAATTTTATTTTGCTGGCTTTGGATTAAATAGGTATCTGAGATTCTTCATTGCTGTCAGAGTTTCCCCCTGCACTCCCTGCCCATAGGCTAACGCATCTGAGATCATGTTTTTCATATCCAAGTTAGTGTTGGCTTTGTATCAAACCAAAAAAACCTCAAAAGCCAAACATAACATTGGGCTTGTTCTGCCTAGGAAGAAATTTATATAACTAAGTGAAACAAGGCTGAAACTTTTTTTTTGTGCGTACTAAGACTGAAAAGTCCCGGTAAAGCTGTGTTCATTTAAGTTGAATATTGGGTCAATGAATAACGCTTTTATTTTTTCCTTCCAGAGCTTATGTTGAAAAGTACCTCCTGGAGAAATCAAGACTAGTCTATCAGGAGCACAATGAACGGTAGGTGCCTATATTTTGCTTACAGGGTTGGTTTTGACTTCTATATGTGCTGATAGCATGGCACAGATAGCTTAAAACCCTGTTTGAGCTGGCACAGGGGCATCAGGATTTTCACACTCCTAGCCCTGTGCTTCAAAGATAAATGATGCATTTTATGTTTTGCTGTTGAGAGGAATGTACTACCCAGGGAAAATAAACTCCATTATTTTATTGACAGTCTTTGATTTATATTTTCCATTGTCTTTATGATTCATGTCATATGGATTATTACGTACCGTTTGTTTTCTTGCACAACTTTTAAGCTATTTAATATCTAAATTGGGGGGGGGGAAGATGGTACTTTAGTTCTGTTTTACAGTTGTTAACACATTGAAGCCATCAGAAGGACCTCTAGAAAAAGCTAAGATTATATACACAACAAATTTAAGCAAATTCTTCTTTCCTAATTGCAATATATTATTTGTTGCATACTCCTTTCTCAGTAATTATTACTCTGATTTTAAATAAATTTGCTGCTTCTAGTTGTCTTTCAACTCTTGGCACCTCTGTCTGTGTTTCCCTTTTGAGACAGATGTGCGAGAAGTTTTCTTGAATGTTCATGGGCTGATCCCGAAGTTAAATAGCATCTACAGCCTTGACAAATGTACTCTTGGGTATTGCAAGATGATTAAACTGGTTCCTCTTGGAAAACATCCAACATAAAAGCAAAGTTTTAATTCTAGAAATACTGCTACGTTCTTAGCATTAATCCACGTTAGAGTTGTCTTGAAGCAAAACAGATGAGTGTCACTTGGGGTGTTTTTAGTATTAGTAATATTCAAGTATTTTGAATATTTGAGTAGCTGTAAAAATTGCAGATTTTTCCGTTCTGTCTTAAAGAACTGCAACTGCAAAATCATTACCTTTTTAATGGTAATAAAGTATTAAAAACAATAATAATTTCTGCGTTGCAAGAAAACATGTTGTTTTGATTCTAATAAATATGTAGGCATTGCACATGTTTCTGGAGGAAAACATGACGATGTCGGCTAGGAATTCTTTAAGTATATTCTAGGGCAGTGGATGTCCTTGGATGGAAAAGAGGGATCTCATTCTCCATTACTTAATTTAATCTTTTACATCACTGCAAAGTGGGTACGGGCCATTTCTAAACAGTGTTCAGGTCTGAATTTGGAAGCTGGACAGTCAGGTTATGAGGTTTACATGCGCTTCTCTGCTTAATGGTGCTGTTTGTTTTGAAGTCTTAACGTCTTTTTTTTCCATTTGTCACCAGGAACTACCATGTATTTTATTACCTCCTGGCAGGAGCGAGCGAGGAGGAGAGATCAGCATTTCATCTGAAGCAGCCTGAGGAATATCATTACCTCAACCAGGTGGGAATACTATACAGGAATACAATACACAGTCTTGCCTTTTCTACTGCTGATACTTAATGCTAATAAAGAAAATGTGCAGAGTAGTAAAAACGAGTTGTGTTGATGCTCTGTAGGCAGCCTTCCATCATGGGAAGTAATTCTGCATTGGCAATCTGAACACCTGATAGTATGGGGGGTGGGGTGGGGGGGAAATCAGTGTTTTCCATTTTTTTCCCCTACCTGGCATATGTTAAATACATTGTGTCTTTAATTGTCGAAGGGAGAAACAGTAATAATTTGCCTGTTATCTATATGAATGTCATTTACACATTAACATCTGTCTGCTAAGTAGAAGAAAACAGAAAAATGTGTGATACCAGTAGGTCTTCAGGATATAACGTCTCGCATGAGGTAGTCCTAATTCTGTAGCTTCATGGCTGGCTGTTAGCACGATCCTTTGAATTTAACAATATAATAAGTTTAATATAAATAAAAAACCAGCAACCATTGAAACTGTGTGAATTAAAAATGAGTAAGGTACTACCAGTGACCAACTAAACTCATACTTTGGAAAATCTGATTTACTTCAGTTATTAAAGATACAGTTGTCCATTGATGCTTGTGAATAGGGACTTTACTGCTTTTTGCTCAAAAAAAAAAAAGAAAAAAAGGATTAGGAATATGTGGAAGAGTAGTTAGGTTATATGTTGATTTTAACTAATTGCAATTTTCTTGGAGCTGAAACGTGATTAGCAATAAAGAGTAATTTAGCCCACAAGCTGGAAAGAAACTTGCACGCGCAGTGCAACCCAAATAGCCTTTAGTCTTTCTAGAAATATAATTTAACTCTGGAATACGTCTCAATTACCTGGGGCTTTTTAAAGATCTTTTTAAAGTGGGCTAGGAAAGCCAAAATCTATTGTAATATTAACAACTCCCACCCACTCTTAGCAGGATCAGGAAATTCAGACAAATGAGTAACATATTAAGAGCTGAAGGCTTTTTGCTCGCTGTCTTTGTGCCTCAGGCGTTGGTTGGAGACATGGTGTGATCTTCACGACCATCTGCGCTGCCGTTTTGCAGCAGGAAAGTGCCAAGATCGTTTAGATCGAATGTTTTGTCAGAGTCTCAGGTTTTGTTGGGCAATCCAATAGTTTTACGTTAGTCGAAAACATTGCTTTTAATTATAGTCCTTTTTTTTTAATAGCAGTTTAACATTCAAGGGCGTTAATATTTAAGTAAAATAATAACTCCAATAGCGTGTAATGTGTAGATCTAATAGGAATGTGATAATTTAGGTTGAAACGTTTATTTTAATCTGAGTTAGGATGCTGTGGGCAAATAGGCTGGAGAAGGATGCTGAGGTATGTCCAGTGGATAAGGGAAGCAGACTCTGGACTTGTCTGAACACTGTGTATGGACAATAGTGACAATCTGAATTTTTAGGGTTTTTATTATAATAATTTTAAAATTTTTAATAATTGGGGTTAGTATTAGAGGGACCATCTAACAGTGGGAACTATGGGAAAATGGCTCCTTTAGATGTGTTCAGGGCATCGTTTCCTATTAAGGCTTTCTGACAATGCAGCAGCAGCTTTCCCATGCCCCCTAGGCAAAGGGAAAAACGGAAAACAGGGAGAAAAAAGGAAAAAGAGGAAGTGGAGGAATAAGGAAAGGAAACTTTGGAAACATAAAAGGGGAAAGTAATAAAATGGCCCCTGAGCATTTACAGTGGCTTCTTAAACGTGTCCTAGAGAAATCCCTGCCTTTTTAAAAGGAAAGAGAATGAGCTCAGAAACGAACCTCAGTTTTTAACTAAAAATTAAATATTAAAATGGAAAAGCTGTAAAATACTGAGCCAGGCCCCTTAAGGGCCTTAAGTCAAGCGTTATTTTCTTCCTCAGCTCACGTTGTGTTACGCAAAACAAACGTGCATTTTATATTCCAGATGAGCAATAATCTATTCTGATATTTCACCAAAATGTGCTGTTGTTTTGTTGATCTGTAAAGGCAGGGAGCAGGTTGGAAAAAAAGATTGTAATTTTTTTTTAAAAGCAAATTTACTTAAACTATCCCCTGAGTTCGAGTGACTTCTCCATATCTCATACCAATGGCAGGTATACCTGCCATTGCATACCGTGCAACTTGCTGAATATTTTCTGTGCTGGTTTTTCACATGTATCCGTTTTGAAATTAGTGATTTGCAGGATTAGGTCCTTATTTTAAGTTCATTAAGAGCTCTGCTACCATGTGTCTCTTCCTCTTGGGACTGGTCACTGACACGTCCTTTGACTACTTTCAACTCCATCCCTGTCTGATTGGTAAAAGATACAAATTCCTAAAAAGCTTTCAAGTGTTGCTTTCTAATGGGTCGGAGAATCGCACTTTTCCAACACTTACGTGTGCCTAGGGCAGAGGTTGAGAGTAGAAACAAAAATCTGCTCTTCAGTGTGATTTTACATCAATAGCTCTTCAGCTGTAGGTAAACCAAAGGTTTCTCCAACCGTGAAGAAAAATAAAAGATCTTAAAGTCCATTAAGCTTATTGTACGAGTCTTGAAAACACTGTAAGCAAGAATCAGAGCACCATAAATTGCAAAAGCATTATAAATCTTACCTTAAAAAAAAATAAGGAATGACTACTCAGAATAACAACATTTATTTTACTTGGAAAGTCAACGTTGTTGCCCTGATAAAAGAGCAGGTAGTGGGAGTTATGGTTGGTCTGAACACTACTTAACCCGGTCTGCCTTGCTTTCAGATGACAAAGAAACCCCTCAGACAGAGCTGGGATGATTATTGCTATGACACTGAGCCGGTCAGTACAAGTACCCCCATCTTCTGTGTTGCTGGTGCAGGGCTGCTGCTCACGTGAATTTGTTAGGTGCACCAAGACCTGAGCTGAAAACGAAGTCAAATTAAGTTTAACCTATTCATCATCCTCTCCCTTCCTCTGCCCTGCAGTGGTGTCGCTTGTGTATTAGCTCATGACAATACAGATGTGTTTTCCCTTGCCCTTTTTTGGTTCCTTCCATCTGGAAAGCTTCTTCAACAGTTGGATATGGTCATCTAGTTTTAGCAAACTAAGTTTGGGTTTTTTTGTTCCTTCTTGGTATACTACATGATGATTTATGGAAATTGTGATACGGCAGCAATGTGAAAATTGAAATTTCTTTCCAATAAAACAGCAAATCAGTCTCTCGAAGCCCTAAGAGATGCATCAGTTCATGATGGTTGTAGCAGTGTGTCTGCTCTCCAGCTTCCAGGGAAAAAAAAGACAAAACCAAAACATCCCCTCAAAACATCTGCGAGAAAATCAAATCCTGATATTATTTGGAACAGAAAAACAATTCCTTCTCCTATTATAGTTCTGCTGAGATGATCATCCTTTCCAAATGGATTGACCCAAAAAAGGGAACAGTGAAGCTTCTCCCTCTTACCCAGCTTCTCCTGTGCAACCAGGTCGGAGGCGGTTGCTTCAGTTGGCAACGTGCTTTGGGTGTCTGTGTGTCCCGTGATGGTCTCTGTTGGTTTTGTCTTGCACGGGAAAGCATGTTTCAGATCAGCTGCATGTTGTTCCTGCTAATTTTGCCATGTGCTTAATGGTTGCTGAACTCTAGCTGATGCATCTGGAAGAGTAAGAGGTAATCTGTGGAGGAGTTGGGTTTCACCCAGGCTAAATAAGCATCTTAAGAGCAAGATTTCAGCTGCAAAATCCTTAGGAGAGGAGGAGGGAAGGGGAGTCTAGCCCCCCAAGGTTTAAAAATGTTGAATGTTGTATTGACATCCTTAATACATTAGCATCCTTAATACGTGAGCATCCTTAGAGGTCCTACAAGAGCAGGGACTGAAGAGCAGATGCTTTTCTCTATACCTTAATACACCGTACTATGTTGTGAAGACCTTAATTGCTTAAGGAATGGGTTAGGACAATTTACTGGAGGAATTAAAATTAAAACAAACCCCAGATTTGCCACTTTCTTCTGCAGGGGCCAATAATGCCCTGCCAGCTCAGGACCTTGGGACTTACCACGTTATGCGTCCTTATTTTGCACAGCAAAACCACGTGCTGTTACAGTTTGGCTATTTATCTGGTATTTTATTTTGCTTGGGATCATTTTCTGTGATATTTGTGGGAAATCACATCTTTGCTTCAGTTGATGATTCACTCTCAAGCATACCCTGGACCTCTCCCCATAACCACGGACTCAAACTGCTGCAGACGTCCGGTTTATAAAGATACCCTATTTACTATTTTATCTTTAAACTTCCACGGAAATCCATGGATTGCTTTGATGTGACAATAGTAAGCAGGGGACTCACTTTTGCTGGGAAACTAATTGCCCTGGTGGGATATTAATGATTAATTTGGTCTGTGGGCATGGACTTTGTGATGCTTGTCTGCCTTAATACCAAGGAAACGCCTTTTTTTTTTTTTTTTTAAAATAAATATCATCCATTTATCATCCATTAGGAAACAGTACAGAGCTGAAATACTACAGAGAGCATCTGCTTTTAAGTAGATAATTTGCAAAAGGCCATTCCATGCGGATTAATGAGTTTGGCAATTGTTATGCAAATTGATAACTAAATTGCCTTTGGCGTAGATTGTGCTACTTCTGAGTTGTGTATGGTATTTCACTGTTGACTCGTGACTTAATTTTGGATGAATGATGCCACAAAATGAAATTGTCTTCTGGAATGTGGAGCACCGCTAAAAGCGACACTTGGTATCTTTTAAAAAAGTTTTTAAAGAGACTTATTTGCAGAATTTGTGGGTATGTTATTGTCCTGCAGACTCCAGGTCCCACCTTAGCGGGTGTGAAAACTTCTTCAGGTTCTCCTTAGCGTCTGTGTAGTGGCCAAGGAAGCCGGTTGGCTCAGGTTTGAGTTTAGGAAAGGACAACTTCTTATCCTGATATTTTATGGTGTAAATAATTCCATTGCTGATCCCTGATGATCTTACTGATATATAGAGTATATATCTTTGTTGCATTCCGTTGGGTAAGGTGTACAGAGAGCTTATACGTCCATTAAAATGGGTAATTTTCAGTAGTTTGTTCAACATCTCTAAATTCACTTTGTCCATGCAATATTAAGTTGTTGTCCCTGAGGACCATCGATAAAAAATTTTAGATTTTCTTTTCCAGTTGAACTTCTCTAGCTTTTAGTCGAGGGGATAGGACGATTGGGTGTGAGTCTCCTATGTTGAAATAAATATCTTAAATAAGAATTTCTCCCCATAATCAGTAGCTATCACTGCAACGATGCTGCGGAGTGAGATGAAGAACGTACCACTGATACAGTTGTCAGGCTTTAAATGGGGATAGGTGCTTTGAGACAGGAAGCTGATAATATAAAATAACTTCATTCTATATATTCTATATTTATTCTATATTTGTGATTTATTCTATGTACTATAAGTGAGTATGAGTGTCTCTTCAAGTAATAGTCATCACCCTGTGACTACTTGGTGCTGTTCAGTGACGTTCACTGTAGTATTCCTGTAACTCTGTTTAGTGCGGACTTTCAGAATTAATTTGCGCACGCTTGCTCATGTGGTAAATACGAGCATTATGCTCATTTAAGGAGCATTAATTTAACTGTGTTTCCTAACTATTGGTGCAGGACAACATTAGTTGGGTCCAGAATGTCATCGATTTCCCTGAAAGTATCAATGACTGCCGTCAGGTTGGGGATTGTCTGAAAAAACTAAACTGTTCAACGCATTAGTCTCCAAGAAATATAAAATGTAGTGGATTTGAAATTCTCTCAATGCACGCATTTTTAGAAAACTTCTTGGTAGTTAGAATAAAGTGAGTGAAAAATACATGTAAAGCTTTCCCTTTCCTATGCAGGATTTAATTCACTGATATTTTACATGAAATTATGTGAATTCTATTTTAAAACTGAATTCTTCCTCTTTAGTTAGAGGAACTGCTAATGGACCAGGACTTAATGTGGAATAAACTTCCTGTAAATGTGTAACATATTTCATCTTGTTGTTAATTCACATCCTTTTTGTATGCTCATTGTCCCACATTGACAAACTCTCGCCATACGGTTAGAATAGTGTGACTCACCTCTTGGATTAGAGGTTAAACCTAGGAAATAAGGATGTATCTCCAGGAAAAAATAGCCAAAAATGTTATTTTGGAAAAGGTATACCAACACAGCCCTCTCTGAGGTCCAGGCTATTCAAACCAAGGCAATTGTGGTGGAGATGTAGTGTCCTTTGAAGGATCATCTCACCGTGCTGGTACATAAAGAAATGTTTATGTATACAATAAATAATTATTGCATTGAAATTTGCACTGTGGTTAGCTTTTCCATAAAGTCCTTGTAGAAGCAGATTCTCCTCAACAGCTTGATTTTAAAAAAAAAAAAAAAAAATCAAACTTTTAATTGTGCGTACACTTTCTAATATTTAAGAAGAAAAATTATGCCTTGCCACTGGAGCTAATCCTGGTCTTTTATTGTATTGCATATGTGTTTCTTGCTGTATCTGCTATGGTGCTGTGAGTCCCTCTGTCCCTGGGCTGGGTGTCGGGGGTAATTAGCCACAGTTATTTCTGGTAATGTCAGTGGGGCCTTCTGGATATCTCATTTCCCTGTGCCAGATTGGAAACGTTCTAGTCACCGATAAGAGGCATGGAAGTCACTAAATGATATTTGTGAAGTGTTGACCTGGCCATCTGGACTTTTCTGATCTTAATTTCTTTCAGTGCTAAATCTTTCTGTTCGAACCCAACAGGACTGCTTTTCCGTGGAAGGGGAGGACTTGAAGCATGACTTTGAGCGGTTACAACTGGCCATGGAGATGGTGGGATTTCTTCCCAAGACTCGCAGACAGTGAGTTTATTTTCCATAGTGTGAAGATTATATTAGTTAATATAATCTCCATAATCAGTGAGAGAATTCACCTGACTTGAGCTAATGTAACTATTGTGCTCTACATACATATCAGGCTGGTGAGAAGGAATAGTTGGTGAGACACTGGAAAGAGGTTGCCCAGAGAAGTTGTGGACGCCCCATCATTGGAAGTGTTCAAGGTCAGGTTGGACGGGGCTCTGAGCAACCTGGTCTAGTTGAAGATGTCCCTGCCCGTGGCAGGGGGGTTGGACTAGATGACCTTTAAAGGTCCCTTCCAACCCAAACCATTCCATGAATAAAGACACTTGACCATTCATACAGTAAAGGAGTAAACAAAATTGAAAGATATAAGCAAAATATGCCCATCATTATTGTAGTTAACAATCTCTTTATGCAAATGGAGCACTGGCAGGAAGTTGCCACCTTGAAGTATTTTTCAGCTGTTCATGAATAGTCACGCCTTACTCTGCATGTCATGAATCCAGATCCTGGTTTAATCAGAAATCCTGATTATTGGTCATCATACTTAGTCCTTTGCATGCAATTGCTGGTTCTGTAGACTCATTTCCAACTGGCCTTCATTCACTAATTCACTGGAAGCGCTGGTTGAAAAACTGGACTTCTTGGTTGGGTTGCAATACTGCCTTCCACTGACTGCGAGGAATTACATGCTTCACAAGGGTCATCTTCCACCGAAACCACAAAATAATTCTTCTCGTGTTGATTGTTAGCTTGAAAGTCTTGAGTAGGTTTGAATGAATTTGACAAATATGTTCCTAAGGTTAGTAACAGGCATAGAAAAATATGTATTAAAAAAATGAGCTCAAAATGAGTATGATTTTGACATCATAAGTATTGCTGAAAAGCACATCGGTAGCTGGAACACAATGAGAAATCTTGTGCTTTTTCGAGTCAAAATGTTCAAACAATAATTTAATGAACGTGGTTCTTTCTGTCTGAAATCCTGGAGGTTTATGGGGGAACAGAGGATTACTGCTTTGTACTAATGGCACTTGAAAGCCTATTCATCACCTTGGGTAAATGATGTTTAAGATGCTAACACACAACTTTTTACTTTTTTTTTTTTTTTTTTGCAACTGGGTTGATGAGCTCCTGTTCTTTTAACCATCATTTTTCTTGCTTTTTTAACATGTATCTGAGCCAGCAGCTTAGAAGCCCTTAGCTGTGAGACATCATCCTGCTTTCTGCTCCAACAAGAAATTTTCACACAGCTGAGAATCTTTTTCACAATCTCATCCTTTATCCCTACCTTGTGACAAATTAATTATGAAATTAAGACTGCTTTTTCTCTATCCATTCCACATGCATGGATAAACCCAAGAATACATCCTTTTAATGCAAATATGTTACATGTCAGTGTGGTTCCTTATCTTTCAAGAACCAGGTTTCAGTGACAAGGTTTTTCTAAAGCCTCTTTAGGGTGCAGGTTGCTGTAGAGTAAGGGAATTTAATTGACAGAGTAGAGCAGTCAGTCTGGACTGAGCGGAGTTGGATGTCACAGTAAATTCAAGCTTTTGATTTACTGTGCAATAACTTTTCTTGGCACACAAATTCTTGTATTTCTCCTAGTGAATTTTGCCTGTCAAAAAATATAGCGGATTCTTTGCTATATGAGCAAATTTATTCTCCTTGGCGTGGTACAACTGTAACACGAAAGAGTAACCACCTTCAGCTGAGTATAAAAAGGAAGGACATTTTAAGTATTACTGTACTTTTATAAGTGATTGTTTATAGCAAAACATAGGGTTTTACCTTTGTGGAAATGGTTACAGAAGAGAAACATTTGTAATTGCATCCCTGTAATTCACGATAAGGAATCCCTATTTTGGAGATGAGGAAGGACTGGCTTGGAGAGGTGAAGGTGTGTGGTGCAGGCAAGCTGGTGGCAAGGCTAGGAATCAAATTTGATTTTATTCATTTTTAGCTCCCCGGAGACTGTAGAAATAGGGACAGAGTTTATCGCTGAAGTCAGCCATGACTCAGTAGTCTCAGAGCTACTTTTTTAGAGGAGTTTTTTGTTTGGTGTTTTGTTTTGTTTTTAGAGGAGTGAGGATATAACTTAAAAATGATCAAATTAAAAAAAAAAAACAAACGGCTGGATAAATTTAATTGAAGTGTAACATCTTTTCTCTGTCTCAGTATGCTTATATATTATAAAAGCATCTATGCTTTTTTGTATAGGCTTCCTATACAAACTAGGGGACTAGATCTAAGGAGGTGATAAATACATGTGCCAGGGGACTAAGAAGGATCACCTGCATGGCTGAGTCCAGTCTCCCCCTTAATTTGAGCAATTGCATGATATTTAGATACTTAATCTGGATATCTGGATTACTGGAGGATTTCTTTTTTTCTTATAATATGGGGTGCCATTTTATAACCATGGGTTTGATGTGTTAAATAATTTTCAAGAAAGCCGTACCAATGCAAGTTTGGTACTTGACTAAGTGAAAATATTTTTTACATGAGGCAAATTGGATGCTTCATTTCAGCATCATTTTTGAGGAAACATTTAGAGATTTGAGACAGAAACTGCTTCAGATTGAAAATTAGAGGAATGAGTCAAATACGAAGATGGCACTTGGATGTTTGGGGATGTGGTTTGCTTTTTCATTAGCTTTAAGAAAAAACAACCTAGTGAAAATCAATTCTCTCAATTTTCTTAGAATTTTCTCTCTCTTGTCGGCGATACTACATCTGGGTAACATCCGTTACAAAAAGAAGACTTACCGGGATGATTCCATTGATATTTGTAACCCTGAAATACTACCTATTGTGTCGGATCTGCTGGAGGTAAGCCTTCGCATTCCATCCTGTAATGTTCACACCTAATGAGCCCCCTCTGTTTTATAATAGCATTTATTTCCAGTTTCACTGAAGAGTAAGTTCTCTTGTGTTAGCGTTCATATGGGCTGTTCATGTTTGCCAGTGGAAAGTTATGAAGATTTTTTTTAATGAGGTTTTAAATGTAGGCTTTTTTCCCCTACTCCTGACCTTCAGGTTTAATTGACTGAAAACACTGTTTCTTTGATTAAAATTTGAAAGATTGCAAACCAGTTCTAGGTGGAAAGCAAACCTGCCATTCAATGCAGTAGTTTCTTCAATCGCCAACCATCAGCTCCCTCACCAAAATTCCCTGATGCTCCTGAAATCTGTTCCAATATTTGTACAAGAAACTAGAGCAATTGTAAGACTATCAGCCCACTCTTCTGGTTCAGGTGGTGGCTGTAGGAGATGCTGAGCTCTCTCACCGTGTTTTGCTGTCTCTTGTTACCCTGCCAGCATCCACAAAGGCTGTATTAGAGGTGCTGGAGGGTGCATCTCATCCCTTTAGTACCTATTTATGGACCTATTATCCACACTTTTTATCTAGTTCTTTTGTGAACCTGTTGATTCTATCTGCTGTTTAAGACCCTTTACCAGACGCACTTTGTCCTCTTTGAGTCACCGCTGTGCCAGTATCATTTGGGAAGGGTTTGTAGGTCTCAGTCTGGCTGGCCCAGGGCCATATCCAATTCTGTTAGTCAGTGCAAAAGCACTAAGTAAGTTCTTAGGAGAGCTGCTCTGTTAGCCCAAGCAGGTTATGAAGCTGTGGCGTTACTTGTTTATGAGAAAAGTCTTCGTGTCAATAAGCCAACTTGTCCTGCGCTTGCTTTACGTGTTCAACGCCTCTTGAAGTGGATATAGGTGGCCAGAAGCTCTCTTTGCCTTCTCACTTTTCTTGAAATGCTCTAAACCACTTGTAACTCCAAAGGATGCTGAAATATACTTGCGGTTGGTTAAAACAACTATTATCTTTATCCCTTTGTACTTGCTGGAAGGCTAATTTTTGCTGATTTTATGATAGCATCAGAAGATAACTTGTCATTTTGTATACACATGATGCTCTTCCCATTTCTTCCCTTAAATAACGGTTGTGCTATCTCACTACCTAAAGAACTCAGGAATTAGCTGTCACAGATTTTCGTAGCACTTCATTAATGCTTTGAATTTCGCGGGGGGAAAGCTTCTGTAAAATACGGGTATAAGCAGCTGGATGCTCTTTGCATCTTGGCCTTGGAGATTGCAGAAATAAACAGAAGGAAAATATGAGTTTGGAGGAGAATGTTGTTGATCTTACCCTGTTAAAAATGGCCATAGCGAGAGTGCCAAGTCATTTAAGAAGTAATTGTTTTTTTAAAAAGTTTTGAATAAGAGAGTGACTTAGAGATCTGAAAAAGTTCCAGGCTTTGGGTCTTTGCCCTGGCTTTCTTCTGCAAACAAACCCTTCTGCAACATCTGCATGCTGTAAGGTATCGGGTTATTTTTTGCACATGTACATGTGAAATGATGCATCAGTTGAGCCATATAGATCCAACGGTGGCTTAGTGCCGTGGTCTGGTACAGCACAGAGCATGGATACCATGCTCACTTGCAGATAGTGTCAACAATATGTAAAAAATACATAACAACAAAAAAAAATATTTACCTTCACCACATATGTATGTATTTACCTTCACCATTTTGAAAAAGCACTAGAATCTGGTGTAGATGAGCAAAGTGATAGATATCTGTTCATCTTTGTAATTCTTTTGCAAGCTAAATGACCATATACAGCATAAAACGCTTGTTAATTACATCAGGACAATGCAGATCTCAGGTATGATCTTGTGAAATTCATTGCTAGGTTTGGGCAGATGGTATTGCTTGTCCTTAAAGTTGCATTTATATGGTAATTTATCCATGGAATTGGAGACATTGGTTGCCTCCAATATTGGTTGAAACATTTGACACTTTGTATTTTGTCTCATTTGGGTAATTATTTTTATTACTCTTTTTTTTGTGGTCACTGAACAGTATACAGTTTTGCTTTTCACACCATTGTTGCTGAAAATGTAAATTGGCTTGAAAAAGTTATTAATCCCCTCTCTAGATCTTGGCATTACTTGCTAAGACTGAAATTTTTATTCATCTCGGAATAAAAATAATATTAGCTGACAAATAGTTTAACTTCTTTTCATACAGCCACTGGCTGCTTGGCAGGATGGTCTTCAGCGTAGCAAAATGATGGAAGAAACCAGCTCTGCTCTAATCTGATGCTTACTTTGAGGGATGTTTTGGTTTGGGTTTTTTACCTTAAATGAATCACTGGATTTGTTCAGTCAAGGATTTGACATGGAAACGAGAAGCAAAAAAATCCAGCTGGACTTGGTGGAAAGGCTCTGAGAAGCAGGAGCTGAATTGGCCATCTCTGAGACCAGCCGAGAAGAGGGGATGCAGAGGTCCTCCTGCACAGCACCCATGGGGCGGTGGCCGTCATGGGGAGGATGGGAACCAACAGCCTGGTTGAAATGAAAAATTTACGCAAAGCTAAGGTGTCTTCCCCCTCCGAAGGGAAGTCTGGCCCAAATTGTCGTGAGCTAGCTGATTTACATTGCAGCCTCTGAGCCTCTAAGGACAACTGGGGGAATTTCCCTGCTGCAGCAGATAATGCAACAACACTGAACAGCTATCCTTCCTCAGTATAACGAGATTTGTGTCCCTATAAAATGAAGCTAATATGCAGATTTTTGTTTTTTTTTTAAGGAATCTGGGAGGAGATGATGATCTGCAATGGATTTGATTTTTCTTAGATACCAACAACCCCATCCAATATGTTTTTGGTTTATTAAAACATTCAGACCAGCATTTGTTGAAAAAGCAGACTGCAATATAGGATTTTGGCCAGACTCTGCAGATCATTGTTTCATTTACAGTAAGACCCTGATTCCATTTTTTTTTTTTTTGGTCTTTTTCAAGAATAGACATAGCGTGTGGATTATGTGAGGCTTTTGGCAGGTTTTTCTCAGCCTTTGTTTAAACTTTGCTGAAATACCGTGCCGTAGTGTGATGTCAAGGCTGCCTGATGGATCGAACAGACGTGGAGTCCTGTGCAAGTGCTGCAAATATCATGGGTCCTCTGCAGAAATCATAGAGGATTGTGTAAAACTGGGGAAAGCTTTTTTTTTCTAGGGAAAAGCCTGGAAAGGCTCGTTTGTGGGCTTATTACAAAAGCAATCTATTGGAAATGATCTAGTTGGCCTTAAGAGAGACTATTTTTTTTTTTTTTTTTCCCCCATTAGAAGAGCAGGAACATTTTAACTGTGTACGTTTACTAATACTGGAAATAGTGTCTGTGGATGGAGTGAGGAAGGCAAATTCTGCCTTTGCTGAATGGAGCAGTGTTATATTCAGTTTTTAGGCTTAGGTAACCAGGCTCAATGCAAGTAAAGGTAAATATAAGTTATCAAGTGTCCTAAATTAGTTTTGCCAGATCTCTTTTTGCATTGATGATGTCAGCTTTTTGGCGCTAATGTCTACCTCCATGGGAGTTTTACGTGCTCAAGTTCTTTTTCTACTAAAAAATTGTCTTCAGCTTCCCAGAGGGATCCCACAGACGTTGTGCTCCTCGTGTGATAAACATCTTGGAAAGTAATTGGGGAGCAAAAGGGAGGTGGGGATTACGAGGCAGCCAGTACTTGCATCCAGCCTTCTCTTCTGGATCCGTTTTCCGGACGAAGTTTTGGGGATCGTAGAATCATAGAATGGTTTGGGTTGGAAGGGACCTCCAAAGTTCATCTAGTCCAACCCCCCTGCAATGAGCAGGGACATCTTCGTCTTCATCGGATGCGAAGTTCCGAGCCAGAACTCGAGTCAGACAACTTTCTGGTTGTTTGAAAGAAAGTCTGAAGAAAAGGTTCAGATCTGTTTCAAGAAGAGCTGATAGAAATCTGAATTTATTTTCTGTTACTCCACACCAGGCAGCTTTTGAACGAGCACTCAACGCTGTAATCCCTTTCTCAAATATGGGAGGAGAGACAAAAAGCGATGTTTTCTTGCTCTCACGTTGGAAATGGTTCATTTTTTGTCAGCTGCTATAACATAATACCCCAGCATTACTGGAGAAGCAATCTCCGCCTGCCTTGGCTCCAGCCCAGCCCTTGCGGGAGCCCGCTGGCTGTCTGCTCCCCGCCACACTCCGCCGACGTTTATAGCCATGGCAGCGTTGCCGGTCATCCTTCACTGGGCTTTAGAGCTCTAGTCATCCAGTCCTCTCAGCATTGCTTCGACTTGCATGTGGCAGTGAAGGCTTAAATCTGTATTTTGTCCCTGTAATTAAGATATAAACTCCTTCGGGCCGTGTAGCTTTTTTTTAAGAGGGAGAGCAGGACTTGCCCTTCAGCACCAGAAAGCAAAAATCCATGAAACGTAACTTAGAAGTGTAACTCCCAGGACACAAAATGAAGAAATAAGTTGTGTTCTCCACTTTGCTAATCTGCTAGAATGTTTTTTGTCTCTATTTTAGTGTATCACGCTTACTGGAGGAGGAAGCATAGGATGTACTTGATGGGGAAGCTGCAAGTATCTCCATGCACCAGGTGTCCTTAGTCATCGGCATGCGCCCAGTTTATCTTTAGAAAGCTCCTGTGGCTCCTCGTTGGCATCAGGAGTCAGCTACCTTCAAGCTGTGGCCTTAAATGAAAATTAGGATAATTTGGCTGTACCCGTGGTGTTGGCTCTCAGAGGTGATGAAGTAATCAAGATCAAGCTCCGCTGGGTGGTAATTGCAGGCAGAGACCCAGGGAGATGCCGGGATTACGTTCTCATCCTTGCCAAGTACGTTTTTGTACAGGAAGATGGTTCGATGCGATCCCTCCGGATCAGCTCGCAGCAGGTCTGGAGATGAAGGATGCACATCTGCAGGTCTCATCCGTCAGGAGAGCAGAGGGAGAAGGAAACCAGGGTGAACATTAGATGGGGATGGTGAGGGATGGCGTGGGTAGTTGTTTAAACCTTTTAAAATCCCTGTGTTTGCTGACAAATCTGGAACTTGGAAGCGTTTAGGTTGTTTAGGAATATTACATTGGGCTGTTTTGATTAGTAACCATCTGATACCCCTCTGCCTTGTTGCCTTTGATAATTAAAGAAAGCCAGCGTGCTGGCTGCGGGTTTGCAGCATCCCTGAAGTGGGATAACGGGTGGTGTAAAACGCACTTTTGTTCCAAGCTGTGCGATTGAGGGAGGGCAGCTGGTGGTCCCACAGCTCTGCGTTTTGCCTGCAGAGCTGAAATTTTAAAAATCACCATTTTGCTGAATGTAGAGGAATAGAAACCAAATGTGAAAACTTGCTGTGGATTTCTGGATGAACCAGAAGATTTTTTTTTTTTCTGCTTGATTTTGAAAGGTAAAATTAGAGCGTAGGAACTGGGGCTCTAGGGTATTACTGAGGACTAATGAAATGAACCTCAAGGTGTTGACGTTCGATTTCCAATGACATAGATCTTGCTGGTAGGTGAGGGTCATATACAGGTGACTTGATGTTTTCGTCTTGCCGCACCACAGCAACAAGTTCTTATGAGTAGGTGTTGCAGGAAAAGTCAGTACCATAAAAATGCACTGGAGTTTATCAGGGAGACTCCCATGACAGTATTTTTGGTAGAAAGTAGTTTTTTGTACAGAAAGGCATCATTATTGCGATGGTTTGTGAGATTTCTTAAGTTCCAGTGGCTTGTTTGCATTGCCTTTCATACTAATTACTGGATTAAACCAGTAAGTCAAAGTACATAAACCACTAAGTTTCCCGTCATTCACATCAAATCGTAAATGGTTTACCTGGGATAAAAATATGGCTTGGATGGCTTCAGCAATGTGGGTTTGGTGCTTCTAGTCTTCATCAGAGATGTTCTGAGCAGGTCTGGTGTCTGCATGGAGTCTTTCAGTTAGGATAAGTAGACTTAGTTGTATAGTCTAGTTGTATAGACTTCAGTGCGGCTTCTCAAGCAACATCATCTCCGTATCAATCCCTAGCTACTAACTCTGGGCTCAAAGATTTTCACCCAGAGTAACAATTTTTTTTTTACATTGAAATTTAGCAAAGAGCAGTCAACAACTCGAAGTATTTAGGTCTAACTTATGTATAAGCGTATCACCTCTATTCTGGTAGAGAGGGCACGCTTCTGAATTTCTCCAGGGGATATCACAATAAGAGGGACTTGAAACTTGAAAAAAGGCTTTCTCCCAACTATTCGTGGTAGGTACCAGTTAATTTGTTGGCACCGTTTACCTATTTGCCAAAGTGTCTGTGTTTACACAACTGATTTTTTTTCTGCAAACTGGTTTCTGTTACAGCTGATTATAGATTGTCGCCTTGCCGGGAACTGGTGTCTTTAGGGAGTAAATATCAGGTGCAAATAGGAGAGTAAATATCAGGTGCTTTTCAAAAGGTTTCTTCCTCCTTCTAATTCCTTTCCACCCTGAAAAACACCAAAAAACCCCTCCACTTGGATGTCTCTTAAACTGATGACACTATTTTGCTTATTTGTAGAGTAATTTGTATGATGCCATCTTGACAACACTAGAAAGTTGACTTATTTTGCCAGCAAAAAGTGTGGGAGGGAGGAGCTGCACCGGGAACGAAGGAAACCAATGGGAAATTGCTAGAAATGTGATGACTGAATGTGGAAGATCCGGTTCCTTTGAATACCGTGGTGTCTGATTTCTGATGCTGGATTTATGTGCTGAGTTGTCTCCTCCCAATGGCCAGCTTGTTCTTATGCTTTGAACATTAACTCTGCAAGGGTTGGCAAAAGTGTTTTAATGGTTTTTTTAAAAATTAAATTTATAAATTTTAAATTTATGAAAATGTTTACACTTACAAATTCTAATTTTTTAAAAAAATTAGATTTAAAAAAAGTTATTCCTAGAGTAATCGTTAACATCAAGGTTTTTGTTTTAGGTGAAAGAAGAGATGCTGTTTGAGGCCCTGGTTACCAGAAAGACGGTGACAGTAGGAGAGAAGCTGATCTTACCGTACAAACTAGCAGAGGTCTGTACATGATGCTTATTATTAAAAGGGCAACGCTTGGGATGGTTTTCAATGCTTTGAGATGTACACTCAGCTCTGGTAGAGTTTCTTTCCGTTTTTATTTATTTACGTAAAAATAACGTAGGAGAAGCTAATGTGTATGAATCTAGAAAATGATTGGCTTTACCTTCTACGCTGATCCTGGAAAGCAGGTTTGCACTTTATTCTGTGATAGTCTTTAACTGTTTTAATGACTTACGGTTGTGTAAGTGTTCTCCAAAGCAGAATTGTGCATTGCTGAGCGTATATGATACAAGTAGTAGTCTTCATATGTCGTTCCTTAAACTGTAGCACTGATTCATCCCACAGCAGAGCGGTGACCTCAAGACCTCCAGGAAATTTTTGGTGGGGTCCTAAGTGCCTGTGTTAGTCATGGTTCTTGTATGGGAGGAGCTGGAGATCCTCTGTAGGAGATTCCCCTTGTCTTTTCTTCAGACCCTTCACAACCTGGGTCCTTGTGTGACGCTTTGGAGCAGACACAACTTGATCAGCCGCTCTTAAACTTGAGTGTAGTCTGCGCTGCTGCTAACCCTGGGGCTGGCACTGCATGAAATGTTTAAATTCTCCTTTATGGTCTGTCTTAGGATTACAATGTCAGCAAACACATGGTTTCCAGGAATTTTGAATTATATGCTGTGGCCAGTAAACAGAAACACCTCTGTTTTCTTCGTATATTCTCCAAAGTATATAAGCTCTATTCTGCTGCAATACTTGTTTTGGCTGTTTCTGCATCTAGTGTTCTTGTATCCCACCCCAGTTTAAGAACATTGAGCGTGGCATCACACCACGCTCAGTCCCTCCATTCCCCCTTGTTGTCATGTGGTTGTATAAGAATTAGCAGCGTATTGAGTAATGTCTCTGAGAGCAGTCTGTTGTGTCGCAAATAAGTAAGCACATGATGTGTTGTTGTTAGGGTCAGGAAAAAAAAAAAAATCTTTTCTCCCCTTTTGAGATTGTGTGTTTAAGCTCAGTAACTGTTACTGAGCTTTAATCTTTGCAAGTTAAGTGTTGCCTTTGTGCAAGGCTTGAATCTCCCCTAACAAACGCTCTTACCGTGTCTTTGTGGTGCGCATATAATGGATGTGGTATTTGTACTTTTTTCCTGCGTCTTGGGCACAGACTTAAGCAATTGCTAGAAAAGTTTAAAATATAACTATAAGCACCCTTCTGCTGGAGGCTACTTCCCAACAGCTGTGATGATGGAACAATGTGCAGCAATGTGCCTTCAGCCGCCTTGCTGCAAAACTTGGCAGGTTGGATTAAACTGTTTCTTCTAATATTTGAACCTGGGCCACCAGGTTTTGTATCGAAACAGCTTGAAACAGTCTTACCTAGATGCTCCTTCTGTTGAGATCAAAGAGCCCCTCTTGCTACCTGAAATGGCTGAGCATGAATTTCTCAAGTGCTTTCCAAAATGTTTCTGGTGATGTGTCTGCTTGCGAATCTCAGGTAGTCACTTACCTATGGGTTTGTCACCAATATCTAGTACAATAAATGAAAGATCAGGGTGTGGTGATTGTGGTGACTGGGGGGAAGACAAAGGAGCACAAGACTCTGGTGGGGAAGGTTGATGTAATCTCCATGACAAAATCATTTTGTAAGAAGCCGTGAATTGTGTTAAAGATAGGCAGCACTCGTGCTTTTTAATCACTCTCCTTACAACATTAGCATCCTGACCACCAAATTTTATCCGACAGTGACCTCTCTCTGGTAGCAGGTTCACTGCCGATTTGCTCATGCTCACATACTAGAGCAGAATTTGAGATGCTGTAACTGGAACCTCACCATGATAAAAGGTCTTCTCCTGGCCTTCCTCTGGCTCGGGGAGTAGGAGAGGTGACTTAGATTCAGATCCGTCTGAATCGGGATGGAAGAGTAGGATTCATTTGACATTTTGGAACTTTACAAAGAATGCTGATGTCTGATAATCCCGGTCGTGACTAATTGGACTGTTGGCACTGTTGGGAACCAATGGGCTGGTTGTTCTTCTTGTGTGTTTTACAAAAGAGCATTATAGTTGGCTCAAATGGATGGAGTGGTTGTGGTTTTGAGGATTTTCAGACATGACTGTCCCACCACGACTCCTATAACTCATAGGCAGCTGCCGTTCCTGATAGAGCGGTGATGTATGTAGCAGCTACTTTATTTTTCAGAGGCTGAAATGCTTGATGTTTTTTGCATAGCTCGTTGGTACACTAAAAGTTTCAGAGGAGTTTGTCTGGAAAAGACTGTACTGTAGTGGCTCTCAAAAAAGGATTGTAAAAATGTCGTTTTGGCATGCGCTTGCTTTCTTACACCATCAAGAAGAGCAGCTTGGATCTACCAAGTGCCTTCCAAGGCTTTGAACAGTTTTATATAGGCAGCCTGCACAGTGTAGCAGTTATTAAAAGAAGAGCAAAAACTCGGCAAAAGAGGGAATTCGAAGAAATTTCATTTGGTTCTGAAATCTGTTATCTGAACTGTGAGTGGAAATAGGAAATTATTGGGCTCTGTGAGTGAGGTGGGAGTAAGTAGCATTGGGCTTCTACCTCCAGCATCACTGATGAGATTGCTCAGCATAGTGGGAGAGTTTGTGTCTCCTGATGGAGCCATTGGCTCTGTGGACAAGGCACTTACGGACCTGGGTTTCTTGGTTGTCTTCTACCTCTTTATGAATTTTGGGTTATTAGCCAGGAGTTAGAAGTAGGGAGCTGTAATTTGAAATAAACATTCTTATGTAAAAAGCCTTGAGATCGTATGTTTGGGATGGGTTCTTGAGCTCTGATGAGGTTCCTACGTAAATCTACTCCATACTACTCCATATCGTAGTCAGTGCGGGTGGTTGGACTTGCCCGTAGGGGTTCGGGCGTTGTTTTACTTTCTGTGCTCTGCACAGGGGCTGATGTTTGCTGATCCCTTTCATCAAACAGGGTTGGAATATACATGGATGACAACTTGACATAGAAATACTTTCCATGAAATGGCTAATGCTAATGTGATCATTCTGTGATGACAGCCTGGCTCCTGTGAGATCTGTAACCTCAGGGTCCTGCCGTGACAATTGTCACCCTCCCTTAATAGTCTTGAATGGGCAGAGGAGACGCAGGTGGCCTGGAGTAATCCTTTTCTTCAGGTCTGGAGGCATCAGAGCTGAGATTGGACTTTATTATACCAGGTCAAGCCTCTTCTCTTCCACTTTCCTGAGCTGTAGTCCCACAAGCGCGGGGAGAGGATGCCTTTGTTGGATTTGCAGTGATGCCGCATTCCTCTCTGTCTGCGTGCTTGCTCGCTGCGTTGTTATTGTACGCCGATTAGAAGCAGTGTCCTGTGGTTTGAGCGCTTGGCAGTTCCTCGTTTGAAACATTCTCCTTCATGACAGTTACAAATTTATATCAGTCTCTCTTCCTGGGTTTGTTCTGTTCAGCTTTGCAGTAATATCTGTAAAACTAGATATTTTATTCTGGCACATTTTGATGCTTGGGTAAAAGGTACTGCAAAATGTCCTTGTGGGGACATTTTGTCCTTGCTGTCCCAGCAGCCTGAAGCCTACAGTGTTGAAGGACACAGCTGCAATTGGCAACCGTCTCCTGTCTGTTTATTCATACTGTACTTCTTTACTTATGACTTTAATTGATGGCTTTGCCCCCATGAGTTGCCCCATTTTTAAGTTAGGCAGAAATGTTGGCTCTGTCAACTCTGTGTTTCTTTTAATAAGGCAAGACTTTTTGACTCTTGCCTGCATACAACTGTTCTGCTGGATGACCTTGAAGGATCTAAATCAGGTTAACGGGTTAAAATGTTATATTGAAGTCCAACAAGAAGGTAGGACTCCAACAAAGCAAAAGTACTGCCTCCTGTGTACCGGCAGTTGCCAGTGCCATCACCTTCAGCTGAGCAAGTTCTTCCCAGCACATACAGAATTCATTTTACTTTATTTCACCCAGGAGGGTACAAGCTGGGTGATAGCAGCACCTGCTCGAGCGGGGCTGGAGCCAGGAATAGATAAACTGTTGTGAACTGAGCTCCATTTCAAGGTGCGATCTGTTGTTTCTTGATGTGTAGTCAGTGCCTGTCCTCAGGGTATTACAAGGGTTATGGAATGAGCATGTGGATCTTCAGGAAGACCCTGCAAAGCATAATGTGCCATCAGGTTTTTCTGATTGTTCAGTAAATCATGGCGTATTGTTACGAGGTTGTGTCTGACCATGCATTAACATTCGAGTATGGCCCTGTGTTGCTGGAGCTACTGGTATTTCTGAAATTAAGGAGAAGCAGTCAGAGAGGAGAGAAGGTAAAAATCAACACTGCTTTGTAGTTGCAACCTCTCCTTGCTGTGGCACTGATGGCAAACGAGGGCTTGATTGCAGACCCCCTGCGTCTGCAGCCCTGCGGGGAGAGCTGCCTGTCCGCGCTCGGTCTGCATCTCCAGCGCTTGTCGAAATGTAAATGAGCAAGGACATCACATCCATAACTAATGCTTATATTTACCTCTGGCAGCTGCCTCTTATCTTCAGAGCCACGCTGGCTTGTCTGCTGCAGAGCTGCCTCCTGGAACCATTCATTTTTCCTTTTATAGTAGCTGGATGGTATTTTAATGCAGTGTTTGAAACGACTGCGTAATTTGGTCTAGCGCTAAGGTTTAGAAGCTTTACGCTGTAGATGGACTTAGAAAAAAGGCTGCACGGACATGAAAGGCTGCAGTTGTGTTCAGAGGTCTTGGTTCGTTGTCCAAAACAGCTGCCAATGTCTTTATCAGGAGCAAGATGGTGTATTAATGGAGCTAGCAGCGGTTAATGGATTTCCAGAGAAATCACGGTGTATCCGTGCAGGGTGAGGGCAGTATTTGGTAACAGCGAGCTGGCCAAGTCCGCTTCATTTAGCAAATAAAATGCAGCAGTAAGGACCCTTCGAAAAGAGAAGCTTTGACTATGGGAGCAAGAGAACCGTCAAGAGTGTCTGGGATGATTAGAGTATTTTGATTC